TTATATACTTAGTTTATGAATGTATGTATATACATATACATATATATGTATGTATATATAAGTATATTAAGAAAATCACACAAACAGAAAATGTACATTGATGGTGTAGCTGTTAATATTTCATAATTTCTTTTTTATTTGAATATTTTTTTTTTTTTTTTTTATTATTATTATTTACTTTTGTTAATATTGCAAAGCGCAAGTAAAATTGTTAAATCGCTAAAAATTAGTAGACAGATCGTGTGTGTGAGTTTGAGTGTGATTGTATATGTGGGGCTACAGTTTTGACTTGTTGCAACTAAACTAATCTGAAGACTTGCTAAATACATTGTAGTTCTTGCATTTAACATTACATTTTAAGTATATTTGCTTTTTGCTGCTGTTGTTTCTGTGGATTTCCGTACTTTAATTTCTTGCCTACCTCTGGCTCTCACCAGGCCCAGCTGTTATCAACTGACGTTGCCAGCTGGACGCATTTGTTTACCGTTTCGAACCGGTTCAACTAGCATTTAAATTTGAATGTGAGTTGGAATATGGTATTTTTAAATTGTTCTTTTTGTTTTAATTTGCTTATTATTAGCTGTTCGGTTTACAATTTTACAAATTTGCCTTTTCGTTTTTTTTTTCTGAATTTTTTTCGTTCGTTTTTTCTTTTTCTAAACTATTACATATAATAATTATTTTAATTTACTTTACTTTATGCTTATGTACCAAGGATTTTCACTACCGTGTGTTTAGAAATTGAGTTCTTTTGCAAAATGAGCGCCACTGGGCACAGTCGGGTTGCCAGATTGGTTGTTGTTGTTGTTGCTGTGGGTACTGCTGTTGCTGCTGGCGCCGCTTAGCAAATTGGAGGCAGCTGCACCAAGCGCCGCAGCCGCTATGGACGCAGCCGTTGAGCTGCTTGCTGCGCCTCCTCCAGTTCCTCCGTTGCTGTTTGATGCGGCTGCAGCAACGACAGCTGCCACTGCAGCTGCCACATTATTGAGATGTTGCTGATGCTGCTGCTGCTGCTGTTGGTGATGGTGCTGGTGATGATGTTGTTATGGCATAAAGTAGTCCGGATGATCTGTGTCTTTCTCGAATCGCTTGGCCTCCTCGTGCATGCTCTCTTTGATCTTTAGAATGGCCGCCGATTCGGTTTGATCGTTTTCGCCCGGTCCGCCAAAGCCGCCCAAGTTATAATCGCCCATGCCGCTTCCGGAGTCTTCGCGCGGCGTACCCGGACCCCCATTGGCTGGAGAGTTCTTCATGCCGTCCAGGCCGGTGCCGTCAGGTCCGCCGCCGCCGCCATTAAGTACGGGGCCCATGGAGTTGGGACCGCCACCCATGGGTCCCATGCCACCTGGTCCTCCGCCGCCGCCGCCACCATCAGGACCTCCGCCCATAGGGAATTCTGGTTTCATTAATGAGTACATGCTATCGCCAGGTCCGCCGACTGGGCCGCCTTGCGTGTTATCTTGCGGCGAGGGCATGATGGGCGTGCCGGGACCAGGCGGGCCGTTCGAGCCGGGTCCGGGTCCGTAATTGCCCGGCGACGATGAAGAGTATGCATTCATGGGTGCTGACGCATTGGGCTGCCATTGAGGCGGTCGTCCGCCGCCGCCGCCCATTCCCATTGGCGGCATGCCGCCGGGTCCACCTGGCGCCGGGCCTCGCATACCGCCCGGTCCACCGTATCCCATGGGTCCCATGCCGGGGCCACGTGGCGGATTCATACGCGGATTCATTGGACCCATGCCGCCTCCCGGTCCCGGCCGCGTGGGATCCATGCTATTAGGCATCATGGGCTGTCCGGGTGGGCCGTTGAATTCATTGCCCATGCCCTGCATACGCACGCCCGGTCGTGGTCCGCCTGGATACCGCGGTCCACCCATAAATGGAGGCTGACCTGGCATCATCTGCGAAGGCGGCGGCTGTGGACTTGAGGCATGCGTTGGCGGCGACGGCCGCATTGTCGTGTTGGGGAAAAAGTTGGGACCCATCGGTCCGCCGGGTCCCATTGGTCCGCCATCTCCACCCGGCGGCATCTGGCCGAGTGGACTGGGTGCTGGGCCACCGGCATTGTGAGGTCCACCAGGACCGATGCCATTCACACCATAGCCGGAGCTAACAAAGCCATAGTCATGGAAGGCTTTCGCCTCCGAGCTGTGATCGCATTGATCGCGGCGCTCCGGCGCCGCACAGTACAGATCCCAGAAAACACACCACCAGGTGTGCAAAAATCCCGGTGGTTCACCCAGTGTTATGTTCTTCTCCCATCGGATCTCGGACAGAAATGTCTGTGCCGCCTTTTGGGCGCCCACGTGCAGCAGATATTCGTACACATAGAGCGCCAATTTCTCTCTGGCCTGCGCATCAGACGGCACGGCGGATGTCTTCGATTTACCGTACATTCTGTTATTYTGTTTTGTTGTTGTTGTTCTTGAACTTTTGTTGCTGTTGTGGTTTTTGTTGTGATGTAAACTAACTCTCTTCCGAGTTTGTTCTACTTCTATCAATGTTGTCGTCGTTCGCTATTGCGCTCCAACTTCCACTTCCACTTCCACTTTAWTTAAATTTTGTTTTACTTAGCGTTACTTTTTTGTGAGAGGCTCCTCTGCTGCTTCCAACGGCTGTTGCGCGCTCGTTTCGGTTGCTTTCGTTGCTATTCTATGCTCTTCTTATTTTGCTTATGCCGTTTTGTTGCTGTTTCTGTTCCTATAGTGTGTTGTTGTTGTTGTTGTTATTTTAAATTGGCGCTCAGATCTCGCGCTGCTCACGCAGCCGTTCTCTGCCGCTCTATTGCTTCCACCATTTTTTATTTTTCTTTATATTTTATTGTTTTTAACGTTTGTTCGAAAGCAGCAGAAATTTAAAAATCACTTTGTGCCTTCTACTTTGGTTTTTACAATAAACTTTTAGCGCGCTACCTTGAATTGCTGCCTCTGCTTGCTGTCGACACTTCTTCGTTTTACCGTTTATGTTTTCTTTATTTTTTCAGGTATTTTGCCTGATTGTTGCTGCTTCTTCTTGCACAACCACTGAAAGCAGAAAAAAAATATATAAGCAAAGAGAGCCAAATGAGCGAGTGTGCGTGTATGTGTGTATGGTGTTTGCAAAATCTGTATGTGTGAGTGAGAGTATGGCTGCGGCTTGAGCGCGCGTGTGAGAGCGAGGGAGCGCGCGCATTGTCGACAAAACGGCACAAGTGCTACAGTGTTAGCTAAAAAGTGTGTTACACGTGCCAACTGTTAACAGTGCAATTTCTGGTGTTTCTATTTCTCAATTAATTTAAATATTGTTAAGTATTGATATAAACTCAACTAATGTATTCCATCTAAGCATTTATGAAGTTCGTGACTTTTTAGATTGCTGGTCTTGCTGTGCACTAACTTATTGTACAGACTTTCAATGCGTCGTTCACTCATGTGTGTTCCCCTCTATTTGCTCACCAGGTGAGTGAGTGAGTGATGCTCGGTTTTGTAGGTTGAAAAAGGCAAGGAACAGAACAGCTAGCTGGGCAGCGTAATCTGCTTCTGTTGCCGCGCGCTGACTGTCAAATGCTTATATTCAAATCAAATTTCGTGCACACTGTTCTGTTCGGTACAGTGGTCGCACACTGACACAAAAAGCGAGCGTGTTGATAAGACCCTCAGAAACGGGGGCACGGGGACAGGTGTGTTGCGATTTTACAACTGGGTAGGACAGTCAACATAGATATATAACAATTCGTCAAAGCAGCGATTTGATAGCTAAGAGCTTATATCTATGAATTGAATGTAATTTCGAATGAAGAGATTTGTCTAACACCTGCCCAATAATTTATTGTGACTGTATTAAAATATATGGGAAAGTTATTTAAATTATTGATGTATTAACATCAGATTTGTACTCTTTTTTACCTTAGCCCATTCAATTTTAAGAATTTTCAGTTCTCTAGAATTGTAGCTTTCTATCTATTGTAATAAATCATCATACTCATGTAATATATGGGTATGTCACATATTAATATAAAACAATTTCTATTCCAATTTAAATGTATATATCTTTATCTATAAATATAAATAAATACAAATCAAATTATATATAGATCAGATTCTACAACAGAATACATTAATACATATATTTTATATATTCTGTGTGGTGTACGCATTTTTTTAATGCAACAAATGATTGGGGAAAACTGAACATTTTCAAAAATTGTATATGCACATACATATATTATACTGCATTTTAAGATAACATGAATTAACTTTTAAATATCTACAACGTTCAATTGATCAGATTGCTATAAAAAAAAGTTACATTAAATAACACCTTCTTATATTATAACAAGTAAGAAAGCTCTAGTCGAGACTACTCGACTACGAGATCCCCTGAACCCTTGGAGTAATAGCTATTTCAATAATTTTTCGCGACTTTCAGCTTACACAAGAAACACGCACACACACACACACACACACACACACACACATACACAAACAATTACATACATATACACACACAAGCATANTTTGTGGGGTCTGCCACGCCTCCTTCTGCCTGTTACATACATTTCAACAAAACCATTATACCCTGATTTCCCATTGAAAATGGGTTCAGGGTATAACAATAGAAATACAAGGCAAACACATTAATTAGAATATCTAATTATTGCATTATTTAGGAAATGAAATGAATTTAATTAAACCCATGAAAAAGTTTTCTTTTCAAATCTGAAATCTCACTGTACATGATTTCTTTTCGGACAGCATTGCTAATTGACGCACTGCACAGGTAAAAGATACTTTCTTGACTTGTGTTGTTGCACTGTCAACTCTTTGGTGCCTATTCAAATTCGACTACATCACGGTTCGGTTGGCAGCATCAATTTTTGTTTTGCCTTTGCCACTTTCTGGGTTTCTTCTAGCCCAATCTCGATGTCGTTATTGCTCTCGTTGTTGTTGTTGTTGTTGTTGTTAATCAACAACAGCATCACAGCGTGCTGGGCTTCTTCTACCAGGGGGCTACAAAATACCGGTATACTGTAGTAAGGTATGTATGTATTTAGTTGTGTGTGCCTGTGTATGTAGTACACTACATACGTTGCGATACTATTCGATACCATTGTTGCTGCTGTTCGCTAGACAAAATCAACAACAACAACAGAAACAACAATATCTTAGTTTGAAGACGTCATCATTTTTTGTACGCGGGATTTCTTCTCACACGTTCTACATTGAACTATACACACACATACGCAGAAACACTATAATTTATTTACACTGTACTAAATTTGGTTGTTGTTACTGCTGCATACGCACCTTGTATAATAAAACTATGTGTATATCGTATTATATAGATGAGCTGCTTTTTTTTTTTTTTTGTTGGTTGTCAAAATGTTTTTGTTGTAGTGCTCGCTGCTATTTGCAAATTTAATCATAAAAACAAGAAAGAGCAAGCGGGCGCATGGTAGAGACAGAAATGGAGGATGAAGAGAACAAAATACGGAATTTTATTACAATTTCATTGATTTTTCGTATTCTTCGTCCTCTCATATGKTTTTGCACAACATACATACATATAACTGTTTATTATTAAACCGCGCGCTTGTCGACGTTTTGCACCAATTCTCAAAATTGCGATTGTACTTGCAATTGTATTAGTATTTGTGTTTGTGTGTATATGTGTGTGTTTTTAATTTCTTTTCTAAACACACTTTTCGCCTTGCCTATTGTTGTTGCTGTAAATTTTGCAAGTTTCTCTTTACACAATTTTCATTCGCACTGCGCTTTGTCCATGTATTCGTCGTCGTTGTCGACGATTGCTTTTACTGCCTTCACTGCTGCTGCTGCTGCTGCTGCTGCTACTACTGCTTCTTCTTCTTTCACTAAAAATCGGCTCTTTTTTGCCTGTACGACGAAATTTTCACGGCGAGTTATTGCGTTGAAATACATTTTAAATGAATTTCATTTCATTGGCAAACACTGCATTTACATTTTCACTTCAATTAATAATTAAGTATTTCGATTTTTACACAGTAAATTATTTGTATAAATATTTTCACTGCTACAAGTTGCGCTGTCGTCGCCGTCGTCGTCTTCTCGTCGTCGCGTTTCAAATAGCGAATTCGGTGGGAAGGAACGAACAAACCAACACTTTTTTCTGCTCATTATTTTGATAAGTGCTTTGCGCGTCGATACGATGGTCATCTCGCTTGCACGCACATTGTTCAAGAAGAGTTGCCAGATAGGCGGATAAAGCAGTTTATAAAAATAAAATCTCCTAAAACTAATAGTCAATTATAGAGAAGTCATTTTTACAAATTCTTCGAATTGGTTTATTTTAATTGTTGAATATACCATGAATATATATGATGTAAATTTAAATTATTGAGTGCTTTAAACCGGCACTATTTAGTGTGGCAGCGCTACAGCTCCGGCATTTTACTCATTTTGTTTTCCCCCCATTCTTTACACGCTCTCTTTCTCTCTCTGTCGCATTTTTTGTGTACATGCATTTGTGTGTATGGGTTGCTACAATTGACTACAAGTGCGTCGATATTGCATTAGCTATGTTGTTTTTAATGCATGAAAATACAAACGGGTGAGTAAAAATTGTATAAGAAAACTTTTAACCGGTTGCATGTTTAATACAAGATTCACAATAAGAATCAAAATGACGCCTTGGCAAATATTGCAGCCAGGGATGTAAATCTTAATCGGAATATTCAAATATCGACTGATTTCGATTAATGTGTAAGGATAATTGTGATATTCAGTTTAGGGAATCATATATTAAACTGCTTTAAACGCGAATTCGTTCAATTCGTGCGTTTCTCTTATTAAAAATTCGAAGTCACACATGGTGTTTATATTAATGCTACTAATACTTTTACTGATAAGGAACAGCTTCAATTTTACAAGCTTTGTGCAATTCAGCTTCTAGAAAAGAGTGAATTATTCGTTGCAAATTTGAAATTAAACTTTCGGCAATGACACTTAGTGCGCAAGAACAGTTTGTGTTGCCGCCAAAAAGCTGCTGCTGCTGGTGCTGCTGTCGTCATTTGGCGTAAACAGAAAACAGTGCAACTGCAACTGTGCGCGACTACAGTTTAAGATTCTGACTTTCGTATTAAAGTAATTACTGAATTTAGCTATATATTTCGTGAAATTGTTGTGCCAATGTAGCTTCTGAATGTTCAATAAAAAATATTAAAGTTAAATAAAGCAACGAAAGTGCAAGGTTATATTCTGCAATAATAAATACAGTTAAGTTTCGTTATTGCAATTCCAAAGTAAATTCCCAATGCTTTACAAAATTTGGATTAGTTTGTAAGAGATGATGTAGAAAGCAGCAAACCATTTGAAAGTAACTTTTACCAAGTGTTGGCATCGAGTACGAGGGTTACCCAAATGAATTAATTATATGCATACATATCATACATACATTTATCAAATATTACCTCGACGTCATAACATTACTGTCAAATTTCCTATTCAAATATACAGTAGAATCCG